CGTGGAACTGGGCAATCACGGCGCGCTTCTTTTCGTGGAAGACGTACTGTCGCCAGTCAGTTTTTCCCGGCTGCTATAGGGCCATGTACGCACCTCTCCCAAGAACCACGCCACTACATAACCGAAGACTATGGCTTCGTTCGTCTCGGCGTCATTCGGCGGGGAAGGGATTCCAGCAACATTCCACAGGTCTCCCTTCCACTCATCCAGCCACCCATAGGCGGTGCTTGTATCGAACAATAGGACTCGTGGAGCGCCATCTATCAGCCAACGGCCGTACATGGTCTGGATGCCTCGGTCGTTCATAGATTTGATCGTCTTCTGCAGAGCGGGATCCGTTGGCTGGAGCTCTTCCACCTCAACCGCGGCCTAGAATGGACATGAGTCCCAAGCTCCACGCTACTTGGTGTCAACACTCACCGATTTCCGGTTGAGGGGGCCGATTAATGTGTATGCGGGGCCATATTCCGATGTGGTCACCTGTGCTTTGGATTTGAGGACAGAGTAGATACCGCCAACTAGGGGTCGTCAATTGCCTGCCACAATAGCGAGCTCGTAGATTACTGACCTCGATTGGCGACCTCAGTCGCAATCTCGAAGAGGACGTGGTTGTTCACGTCTCGCTGCGCAGTCTCGGCCATTGCGTCTGTGCAGTACTTCTGATCTGGCGTCGGTCCGCACGTAGCTGCGAATGGGAATGCGAGGTTTGGAGGTGAAAAAGAGGAGGAGTGAAGTCGGAGAAGAAGTCGGAAGCTTTACTACGGGAGGAGGGTGGGGAGGCAGCGCTAGATAAGCAGCTAGACAATACTGGCGATGGAGATTGCAGGTGTGTCGGGCGTTGTTGTAATGCTTCGAGGCGCAGTGCTCGTAAAGTCCGGGGAAAACAATGCAGTGCGACGGGCGTCTAAAGTTAGAAGAGGCGGAGGCTCCGTGAGAAAAATGCAAGCGCCCGTCAGAAGGATTGCATGCAGAGGCTGGGACACGGTCGGAGCTTTGCAACAGGGCGCCTGACGTCACCCCCACGCCATTGGCCAATTGCTGTTCGCACGGCCACGAGAAGCGGACCCTTCGTTCTTCAACTTCCTCACCCACGAACGACTACGGGCTTTGCTTCTCCGGGGCATGCAGCTTGCCGTCATGATTGTCTGTTGAAAGTGGAGCAACGCGACTTGTCTAACTTCACACTCCGCACCCCGCATGCAAACGCCAATCCACGGCCACCGGCTACCCGCACCCGAAGAGCATACACCTTAATTGGGACATAGATGACCTTCTAGATGGGTCAAAAGATAGCAGCAGAAGATGTTGCAATAATCCTCTCAGATCACAGAACCTCGGAAATTGGGTATCGTACAAAGAAATGCCAGTGTAAACAGAGTTTCCCATCCTCGTCATCAAATGTCGTTGTTGCCTCAACCCCACATTTGACAAATGCAACAGGAAGCGATCATCCAATATCAATGCTTTGGCGCCTTGTTCTATCGAGCACCGGCCCGCTAGGGCCCTGCTGGCTTTCAACCTTCGCAAGCAGGCTGCCAGACGCAAACTTGGAGTCTTCACGAAGGTCGACCATCGGGCCCTTCGCCCTTGAGCCATCCATGACCCCGTGGCCGACTGGTGTGTGTCCCTGGCTGAAGCCTGTAGCACGAGCCAAAAGGCCACCAGTGAAGGCAGCTCTGCTGTCTTCGGCCGCTGCAGCGTTGATATTGGCCGCGTATGCTGCAAGCCCTTCTCCACGGCCTTTCAGTGAACGTGTGCGCTCGTACGCACTGCCACCATTTGGGACATTATTACGATGTACTGTGGGCGGTCGCCGCCAGTCCGTCGAGGACGGCACCTTGATGGCCTCGTCGACAGAGGTTGCGTTCTCAACCAGAGGGCCAGCGTTCCCTTCTGGGTAGAATCCTTTTCCTTTTCGGGCGTGCTGCGGTGGCTCCTGATACTGCGGTGTCAGGTCCACGAGCGGTCTTGGCCTTGCTCGTGTCGATATGCTGCGCTGAATGTCGCTCGAGGTTCGGTGATGACTGCGGACTGAAGAATGACGAGCCAGACCACCCTCGTTGCCAGTTCCCGGTGCATTCCATACCTTGGTGTTGTTGACCAGCGACGGGCCTTCTGTAAACGCTTTCTGACTTGCCTCTATTTCTTGCAATGCTTGCTGTCGTTCAGTATACTTCCGTCCGAGTAGCCCACCAGCCGCGAACGTTTCGCTCTCCGATTCAGATCCGCTCGCTGCTGAAGAGTTGTGCCTCTGTGATCCTGGGGTATTCGAGCTATCCTGGCCCAGGCTGGTCAGACTGTAGGACAATGGTGGTGGTGGCCTGTTCGCTCTCATGGACATCTTCCTAGCGTGCATGGACCTTGAGTCCATTCGACTGAGCGGGGCCGCTGCCGATTCCGGTAGCGGGCCCGGTCTAACGGCATCTTGTTGCGGCTCTTTGCTAAACTGGTCGAGATCGAGCAGCGGCTTGAAAGAACCGAGCTGGTAGTGAGAGCTGACCGAAGTGTTGCGTGCATGCGCGGGCTCCAAGCTGCTTGCGAGCTTTGCCTCAGAAGGTTTGCTCTTTTTCTGCCCCTCACCCATGACATGAACCAAGTACCAGCTCCTCCATCCCTGAACCGCTTTCCAAAAAGATGCCGCAATGTTCTTGTCATTGGTGCAAACAAAGTGCACGAAACGAGTCTCGTCAATGTAGATGTTCGCTTTCTGTTGACTCTTGACTGCGTAGCAGATCTTCTTTGGGGGCCTGACCTTGGACAGCTTGCGCTCGGTTGGGATGTAAATGTCAAAGTCAGACAGGTGGCAGATGTTCTCACGATCCTTTGCGCTTTCGCTCTTCGCCATTGAGAGCTGGCCTTCTCCTGTCAAGGTGAAGTGTCGCTTTGACCATTTCCCAGGCTTGGAGGAGTAGTTCAAATAGCAACTATAGCCTGGCGGCTTTGTGGTCGGTACATTGGATACGAGTAGTTCGGCCTGATTGATATCGTGGAATAGGGCGTCAACAATGTGCAGGTCATTCTCCTTATCGTGGTCCCAGGAATTCATCACATCTCGGACGTGTTCATAGTTGCGCAGCGGACGTTTCAGCCCGACTTTCTGGAACGACTCCAGTATTACAGCTGTGCTGACTTGAATTGGGTCCGTCAGGCAGTTGGAAGCGGACTTGATGAGATCCAGGGGCGTCGTAGTGGGAGTGATCGGGAGCAGGATCTCCTGCTTGTTGCGCACGACGAGGACGCGCTACAGATATCAATACGCGCCGATTAGCAGATGATTCGGCGAACTTACTCTTTCTCCGGCATTGATGGCTGACTTGGGCGCATCGATGACTGCGCCACCTCCTCCCTGTGGTATAAATTCCATATCTCGATTGTCTCTGTCTTCGGTCTTCTGCAAATGCGCACTTCGTAGGTCTGATAGGGGTTCGAGACTTTTTGAATGCTCTGGAGACAGCGATGCATCGTCTCTCCGCCGCCTACCAAACAAGCTGAATCCACCCCCGTGTCTGGGAGGAGAAGTGGGCGGCGTCAAGGGCTGTGACTTGTTCTTCCGCAGTCTAGTAGCACCCTCAGATTTCTGTAGTCTCCGCCCATGCTCATGTTCTTCCCTCTCTCGCCGCTGTCTCTCCGCATGGTCTTGCTCCTCCCTACGACGCCGCTGTCGCTCTGCCTGCTCTTGCTCCTCCTTCTGACGCCGCTGTCTCACTGCATATTCTTGCTCCTCCTTCTCGCGCCTCTGTCTATCCAGCTCCGCAGCCTCGCATTGCCTGCGCAGTTCCTCTGAAGCCTCCTCGTCCGCTCTCCGTGCCTGTTCCCGTTTCACACGCTCCTGCTCTTTCTCCAGAGCCTCGAGCTTTGCGCGTTGTTCTGCCTTGATCCGCTGCTGCATGATCTGGTGACGATCCGTCTCTCCTTCGAGTATCTGCCTCGCTTCTTCCCGCGCTCGCTCCGAAGGGTCACTGATCTTCCTTTCCTCATGCGCCGTTTCTGCGCGGTGTTTGCCCCCACTCGACATTCGAGGCTGCGGCTCTGTGCGCACAGGACGGTTCTGAGGTGAGCTCAGCGCGCGATTCCTCGCAATCTGCGCACTCGGTGCCGTGGCATTCGGAGGCGCATGTCCGCCGTTCAGACTCGGGACTGGGGGCGCCGTCTGGTGCGAAACCGTAGGCCTCCGATGATACCGCGACATACTCCTACTAACCGGCGCTTCGTCTGTTTTGTCTTTCAGCTGCTCAATTGGCGGGACCTGGGGTACCGGCGGGGCGGGAACAGGTTGCGGGGGTTGAGGCTGCGCCTGAGCTCGTCGAACGCTTCGATATCGCAAGAAACTTGTAAGAGCCGTGGCACCCTCGGAGGGCGGCGCTGCTGTCTCGGTCGCCATGTTTCTGTGCGAGCGGCCAGCTGTCGTGTCACCGTGGTGAGCGTCCGCGTCGCGTCGAGGGTATGTAAGGGAAGAGCTCGCAGGGCACCGGGCACCGGGCACCCCCCTTCGCCGCGCTGCGTGCCCGTTTATGCAGGAACCAATATACGTATGTCGATCTGCAGATGGCGCAGCTGGAGTATACGGCGGGTCATGCGGCTAGCGGGTTAGTTCAATAATTGGGCGACGAGGGTGTGGAAGGGTGAATGTTGGATCGCCGTTGGTTCTTGATTGGGATGTTTGCAGATTACGTTTCATGGAGGGCGCAAGTAGAGACACATGTTTGCGGTCGGAACCTCCGAGGCTCCAGGCTAGTTCGGGTGACGCGTCCACGGGTCAAACGGCTTGTCTTGGGCTTGGGGGTCTTGCAGCTCACAGCGGGTCGACTGGGTTGCTCCTGCTATCGTGCTCCTGCTCCTGCACAGGTCCCGTTTTCCAGTAGACTATGTTCTGTTAATCACAACATCCTCTTGCCTCCCAGCATCGGCCCAGCAGTCAGTCAAGTCTGAGAAAAAAGCAACAATTACTACGCCCGTTACTCGATCAAAAGAAAAAAAAAAGGTAAAAAGAAAAAAAGAATTGTCGCTTCTGTGGATCGAACACAGTACCTTCAGATATCAAATTCGAGTTGAACCGAAGTTAGAGGCTTTTTGACGGCCTAATTCTTCAGTCTGACGCTCTCCCAAGTGAGCTAAAGCGACTTTTTTGTTAAAAGTTTGGTAAAACTTAAATTCTATATACGTGTTAAAATTCCACCTCCGGCAGTATGTTCCGGACAATAGCCGGAGCAACTCACCCGACCCCTATCAGCGTACATAAGTTGCACCAACCGACCCGCTGTGAGCTGCAAGACCCCTGGGTACCTTTCATCTTACATTGGGAATCAACTGAAGGATTTAATGAGGGGAAAGATAGCCCAGATGGTGTGTTGTGCTGCACACCTCTTTCACCCGCTACATGGGTCTCGTTCAGAGACACCTACGAGTTCTTCAGATGCAACCTGTAAAGATGTTTTTCCTGGTGCTGCCATGTCCGACAGTACATCCAGACTGCCGCGACGATGCCTTATCTTTATAGTGTTCCCATATACAAAGGTGGTTTTTTGGGGATCTTCACGCAACCCTAATAATATATATAGTACGTCAAGTACGGACGGTGAGATCTGGGTAGAAATTTAAAGGATTGCCGATGTTGATCAAGTGCGCGTGAGCGTAGGATGCTCTCAACGACTTCCAGTTAATTATGATGGAAAGGGACAAATGCATTTGTTCATGATATACATATTAGGGATCCAATCGCACCCCATGAACTACTTGAAGCGCCCAACGAGTACGAATCTACGAAGGTCCAGGCTTCATATGCTTCCAACCGCCCTCCTTACCCCACACACCCGCCTTCGTATAATCCCCGCGGATATTGCCCGCCATGTACGCGAACCGGAAGTACTCCGGATGGTCGTCCAAGTGGCGCACCCAAGTAAACGATTCTTCGCCAGCGTCTGCGTAACCGCGGAAACGCTCAACGTCGTTGACGAGGATGCTGAGGCCGTCGTAGTGTTTGGGGAAGGGGAGTTGCCACTCGAAGGTGATGTTTGGCTTTAGAAGCGTGCCGAGGTTGGTGTGGATGATGGGTGCGAGCACGGTGGGCAGTAGAGTTCCGAGCTGTGCGTCGCCACGGAGCTCGTCGGGTGTCTGGAGGATGCTGTCGAAGCCCCAGCGGGCAATGCCGTTGATGAAGAGGCCGACGAGAATGCCCTGGAATAACAGGCTGGGCCTGTTCTGCATCGCGGTGCCAGGTGCTAGCAGCAGGCCGAGGATGTAGTGGTGGATGCGCACGTTCATCTTGGGTACTGCTACGAGTGCGAGGAGGGTGATGCCAAAGATGCCGTAGATGGCGAGGTACCGTGGAAGTCGGCCCTCAACACGGAGTGCCCATGCCTGGCCAAGCGCGATGAAGAACAAGGACAAAACGACAATGATCAGGGCCGGTATGGCCCCAGGCTGTTGTTTGATATCATGCGGCGTCAGGCGCTGTATGGGAATCTTGTCGAACGTGTAATTGTTCAAGGCGCCCACCCAACAGCCACCAAGCCAAAGAACGGTCTTTTCGATCTGTGCATGAAGGCCCTGCTGCTGGGGCTTGACGCAGTACTTGTAGATGGCGAACATACAGAAGCTGGCAGGCAGAAACCGTCCGAGAGCAATGCTGATGATGGCGTAGTAGTCGGTAAGATTAGGAGGATCCGAGGCCAATGCAACGTGGAAGAAGATGCCCACAAACACGGAAGGGAAGAAAACAGCGGGGGATGCCGTAAACAGGGACAACAAAATGGTGAACGTCAGTGAGACTGCCAGTAGTGGCCATCGCAGGTCCCGGCACTTTGACGCAGTTCCTTTCAAGAATGTGAACGACTTGGGGAAGTAGGAATCGAATCCGATGCTCGAGATGTGCTTTCGGTCGGAGCTGGCGAAATCTGCCTTCTCTCCAAGAAGGGATATAACGCCACATCCACCGGAGGCATCGTTGATGAAGCCGGCGTGGATGGCAGATGCACAGACGAACGAGTCGCCTCTGTAATATGCACTCTCCAGACTTCCTTTCTCATCTGTTGGACCACCGATTACAAGAGGTCGGTAGTTCACTTCTTGGTCGCCTACTGCGTGTGGGTCGACCACTTCTACGCGTTTGCAGTTGGCAGGGCAGCGAAATGGAATTGAACTGTTCTCGAACGGGCGACACAAGTCACCGTTAGGTCCACAACCGTTACCGTTGCGCCTGCGTAGTGTAAGCAATTTGAGCTAAGGCACTCGGATCTGTGCTCAACGGCACACTCCGCCTTCCTTGAGACTTACCAAAACCTGTCTGTACACCTAAACCGGACTGGGGATCCGTAACCCGGGACATCCGCAGCAAAGGCGGATCGGTGGAGGACCAAGCCAAACGACAAGAGCCAGCTCAGGTAGAAGAATACAAGCAGTGCAACTTTATGCTTTCTCTTCGGAAAGTAGTTGTTCAAGAAGCGCAATGGGGCGGTTTGGATATGCGGGTAGAACGGCCGGATCTTCCATGGCCTCGGAGGCTGTGGTCCTTTCACCCAAACGACAATATCTCGCCATATTCCCTGCAGCCGGGGGTGAACGTATTTGCTGGTAGTATATCCATTCTGTGACTCAAGGTGTTCCTCATCCGATGCCTCCGAACCGTGTATCAATATAGTGTCGGACGAACTGGAATCATGGGATGGGGCCGACACGTTCGCATCGTCACGGTACAATTGTGAAGGTGCGTTCTCGGGGTCTGATGTTTGCCCTGGGGCCATGGTCTCGTCGGTGATTGCTCGACTAAGAGTACTGGGGAGGTAGTGAAGTAGCGCCTAGGAAACAGGACTTCGGCAGTCCGCGGGAGCTGGAGTAGGGTGGCTACGAGGTGGGCGAGTAGGTCGAGTGTTGCAGTAAGAATGCGCGCATGTAAGTGAATGAAGGTATGCAGGTCGCAGTGTATGGTCTAACCAAACAATCGATAAGCTGTCATGTGTAGAGGTGAAGCTGGTCGGCAGCCTGCATTGAAGCGCCGGGGGTGCCACAGGCTCCGTCAGCCATCTGACCTGTTCCAGGACGCGTCATGGGCCAGTCACAACAGGAGAATCCGAAACAAAGAGGGCGGAGCGTTGGGGCGGCCTCTGGTCTTCTATATACTCAGTCCAAGTGCAATAACAATTGATGCGCGTCCCTAATTCCCGCGTACCGCTGTATCTGTTGCAGAGTTCCTGCCGTGTCACTGCCATCGGCATCTCTGTGTCGTCATCGACGTGCATGTGGATTTCTAATCCGCTTATCTCCGGGACTTATCGATATGTGCCCACTCCCGAGGTGCGGAGACGCATCTCAAGCACCCGTGTCCTCATTTCTAGATTACTGCATGACTGCTGTAGTATATACAGATTAATATAATTGCCATGTCTTCCTCCACCTTTTCGCAAGAGCTGCCAGATCCTCTCGACCTCTCGCATCACCTCTCGCGGTCGACCAAGGCGCGGGAAGCTTCCAACATCAAGAAGTTCTACAAGTACTTTACTATTCCCGGCATTGCGCAGCTTGCTGGCGGTAAGAGAGATGGTTGACTTCTGGACCATGGGCTCACATATTTTGAGGGCTGCCTAATGACAAGTACTTCCCCTTCGACACACTCGAAGCCGAAGTCGCACACCCGAACAGATGGAAACGCACACCCAACACCCCGATAGGCCCACCCTCAGACGACACGGCCTCGGTTGCGAAATCAAAAGATGACCCGCCGGCGTCGCGATTGCTCGTCCCGCATGATTCCCGATCCACAGACCCGTTGAAGATGATTGATCTGAAGTCCGCGTTGCAATACGGACAGGCGCAAGGATACCCTTCGCTATACTACTTCATCAGGCAGTTTACAAGAGAGAACTTGCACCCCTCTGTGCCGTACAAAGGAGGTCCCGAAGTGATCTTGACTTGCGGCTCGACAGACGGCTTCTCGAAGACTATACAGGCGTTGAGTAATGAGTGGTCTGCTGAGCATGACCCTGTCGACGAGCGTCCCGCCCTTCTCGTTGAGGAGTACTGCTATATGAACGCAGTCCAGACCGCTAGGCCGCGTGGTATGAACATCGTCCCTGTAGCCATGGATGCTCAAGGCATGATGGCATCTGGAAAAGGAGGATTGGAGGACGTACTCAAGAACTGGGACTCTTCTCGTGGACGCCGACCGCATCTGATGTACACCGTAACCATTGGACAGAATCCAACAAGCGGTACCTTGGGCGTGGCACGCCGGAAAGAGCTCTATGCGCTATGCGTCAAATACGACATCATAATCGTCGAAGACGACCCGTATTGGTACATCCAATTTCCGTCGTCCTCGCCCGGGCTACGCGCCCCGAAGCCTGTCAAGAGCTCCGGGTTTGACTTCATAGATTCACTCATTCCATCCTACCTCTCCATCGACTACCAAGGCCGCGTTGTCCGCCTTGACACGTTCTCCAAGACCGCCGCTCCAGGTTGTCGTCTCGGGTGGATAACCGCTCAGCCTGCTCTCGTCGAACGTATACTCCGAATCACCGAAACCAGCACCCAACAACCGTCAGGCTTCGTCCAAGCCATGGTCGCAGAGCTCGTCATGGGTCCCCAGAACGCAAACGATCCCGGCCGAGGCGGAGCAGCAGATGGCAGTGGCTGGAAAGTCGACGGCTGGGTCCGCTGGCTCGAAGGGCTTCGAGGCAACTACGAGCGCCGGATGAGCACCATGTGCGACGTTCTCAACGAAGGAAAGCACGTCGTCAAAGCCGGACGGCGTCTTTCATTCAGTCAAGTCGCTGACGACGAAGACGAGTGGGCTGTCGTCGAAAGCACCAAGATGTTCGACTTCGTGCGTCCTTTGGGTGGCATGTTCGTTTGGGTACGCTTTGATTTCTCGAGCCACCCGTTGCGCAAAGAAGTGGCACCTGCACGTCTCTCGCAAGCTCTTTGGGTGCTGTGGACTAAGAAACCGTATCTGTGTCTCGTTGCCCCAGGCACAATGTTCGCTGCTACTCAGGATATCGTGGAGAAAGACGCTTTCAACTGCTTCAGACTTTGCTTTGCGGCGTGTCCGGAAGAGCAGGTCAGGGACATCACACAGCGGTTTGTGGATGGCGCACAAGCTTTCTGGCGCATCAAGGGTAAGAAGAAGA